TTTTTTTTATGCCGAGAACGGCGCCTATCTATAAACCTAGCGCACAAAAGACTGTAATGAAAAAGACTGTAATCGCGGTCGTGCATGCGGCCAGAAATCACTGAATCACTGAGTCACTTGTCTGGATTAATTTGGCCACTCACGTAGCGTTTATTTCAAACTATTCAAATGCTATGGTGTCAAATTAATCAATTAAACTTTGCTATATTTGATTCAGTGAATAAAGTTGGGGCGAAAAACAGCCAGCCCGGTAACAGGTAAGAAGAGCAGAGGAGGAGCTCAGGGGATGGTGGAGGGCCGACGAAATTAAAGAAAGTAAAGTACGCTTCTAAGGCTAAACAGCTATCACGATCGGCGCTGGCAGAAAAAGGAGAGAGGTTTAGCAGAGCACGCGAATTTAAAGCTTGCTCTGCGTGTGGTGTCTAGCCCATTATCGGCTATCTACCTCTGCAGCTTGTACCGTAAGATAAGATAAGGCCCCGCCCTAGCACAAAACCCATTATCGCGCAAGTCAAAAATGGGCCATATTTAGTAGTCAGACACAGTTTTCTTAAAGAATTGGCGATTGCTAAGACTGCTGAATATATTTGAACTACTAGTGAAATAACTGGCTAAACTATCGTCAATGCAGATTTTCCTTAGGANTGTCTAGCCCATTATCGGCTATCTACCTCTGCAGCTTGTACCGTAAGATAAGATAAGGCCCCGCCCCAGCATAAAACCCATTATCGCGCTAAGTCAATGATGGACCATATTGCTACCGCTATTCTGCCTATCCATTCGTGTTTTTTATTTCAAGCCAGTTTTCACGTAGCGCCAACCTCTTAAAGGCCAAATGAACCATAATTTAGAGCGACGAAATGTTAAAAAAAAGAGGAAACTTCTGCGGAAATTTTTCTTTCTGAGCCCTGAAAAGGAGTAAAAAAGTTAAAAACACGAAGACAGCCGATGGCTTCACGAAAACGTTTCCAAAAATGACTGCGCACTTTAACGGAAGGAATAGAACTGAGACTCTTCTTTGTGACGTCACTGTTGTCTTGGACATTATAAAATTAACTGTGTTTTCAGGAAAAGCTAAGCAGCAGTGTTTGGAAAGATAATTTTTAATTTGTCAGTTTATGATAGCGATGACAACAGCTGGCTCACAGTTTGTTAAACTTAAGGTGGCTGGCAACAGTTTGCAGCATTTCTCAGCACTTCTATTTCGATGGATGAATACTACCATATAGTTTAGTTTATGATACAACCATGGCCTAAAAGAGGGCTCTTTTTGATGT